TTTCAGTTTTAGAAGTAAAAATCGATTATACGACGTTATCGTTTATACGACGTTTTTCGGTGGTCCCTTCGGCGTCGTATAAACGATGCTCCACTGTATGTTTAAGCAATTTCGGTTAACACCTAATTTTTTTAAGAAAATTTTCAGCGTCCCTTACAAAAATAACAAATAATGATTTTTTATCATTCATTAAATTTTTTTATATTTCTGTTATCATACAATTCTATACCCAGGGCTTTAAGTTATTGAAAATATACCTAAGAACGAATGTAAAAATATTATAAATGCAAACATTTTCAGCGGTTGCATAAAAATAAATTCAACATATCACTTTACAATTTGAATTAAATTGCTAAATATTATTTTTGATACATCATAAAAAATGCCAAATCAGAGATATTGCTTATGAATACAATCAGGTCAACCTGCAGTTCATCAACTGTTTATTTTTTAAAAAAAAATTTATACTGAGTTAAATATAATTCAAAGGCGAATCATAGAGTTATAATTTATAAGTACGCTATAGAAAATTCAAAGTGAATTATATTTTAATAAAATTGCTTTGAATGGGTCAAGATAGCCTGGTTGGCAAGGCTCTGAACTCACGTTTGTGAGAATAGGGATTTGAATCCAGCAGGCCGAAGACTGGTGCACGCTAAATTTCTCGGATCACAAAGTCCACCATTTTCCCATTACAAATTATACCTTTTGGACTTTCTGCGTCCTTAAAATAAATCTTATCACAAGGATATTAAATTTAATTGAATTTACAGAAATACCTTTCGATTGATTCACGTATGCCAATAAATCAGTTATTGGTTCACCAGAATACTTTTAAACAGAGTTCTCAATTGTTGCAGTCTTATTATAAGCCTCACTCACGAGATGAGAAATTTGGTAGTGGGTTAAAGTTAGTCCAGAAATAGTTTACAGACACTTTTCAACAGCTTGAGTGTAGAAGAGTTTAAAACGCTTGGAAAAAAAAGGAAAAAAAAGACATCATTTGCTGGATTGTTTTTCTTCGTAAGGATCAAGTCAAGAATCGAAAAATTAATATAAATAAACACTATGCAATAATTATAAAGCACAAAACTAGAAGCCGTATACCAACGCAATTAAATCCGTTAAAACATTTCCATTTTCCTTTTATCATTATTTGTGGTAATTTCCTGTGAGTTAAAGTTTTTTGACAAAGCAAAATACGTTTATGGAAGTTCAATTCATCAGAATAAAGATTAACTGTACTTAGTATCATTAAACATCGAAATCGATGCTATTGGTTATTGATAGCATCAATATTGATGGTGGAAATCCACTTATTATTTGAAATAATGATAAGCGAATTATTGTTGAATAAAGAATTATGATGAAACGCGAAAAATGTTTTTACTGTTTCCTTCTTATTTATCTGTAACATGTTCCATTAAATATAACTATAGTTATGAGAGAAATGTTCTTTAATGACTTGTTTAAAATATGGTTCTGAGTCAAGTGATCTTTCAAAAGCGACAACTTTAAAATTTCAATGTTTTTTTTTTTCACATTTAAATAACAATTTTAACAATAAATTCAAAACAAGCGTTAAGTCTTTAAGGTAATAACTTTTTTTGAATTCAAAGTTCCACACAATAAAATGTCTTTTTTAGAAATGTTTAAAGAATCTTTATTTCAGAAATAGTCCAGTCTATCAGGTAGTTCTTTTTCATTCGAGTTGATCTTCATAACGGAATAAATGGAAACTCACCTTTTCTGGAGACATATTGGTTTGCGTTGATGAAATTACCTTATAGTTAAATCAATCAACAGTGGTCGGTGATTTTCTTCTTCTTTGCATCTGTATTAGATTGTCTTACATCTGGAATGTTATTTGCTGATTGTTGATTTTGCTCCTCCTCATCTGAGACATGAAGTTGCCTCTCTACTTTCATAAGATGTTGACAATCTCGTTTTGGAATCCTTTCGTTTTCAGTATAGATTTCACATGATTTAGGAGCTACTTTCTTCACAGCTTTAATTGACCACTCTTTCTTACCTCGAATACTGACAAGGGTCATTTTTATTACCGTTGGTATTTCTTCTTTGAACCCCTTAAGGGGTTATAGTTATCGACCATGCCAACCTTCATCTATCAAAAGGTATCTAAGATAAAATCAAGTTAACATGTCTTATGTAATAGTGAATCTAAACGGACGTCAATAANTAGTGAATTCGTCTTTAATATTTGTAGTGGTAGTTGGGTCCAACCTTCTTTGTTTTGACTTGAGTACGTAGGCAATCTTTTTATCTAATTTTTGTTCACCAGACGTTCAGTGGGTGACTTTCTACCCACGTTCTAAGTCTAATAAAGCAAGGTAGAAATCTATTTTAGAGTCTTTGTTTTTTTCCCCAACAATCTTTTAAGCGAGGCGTTACTGAGTGTTTGAAATGAATAACTTTTAACAATTTGAACTTCTCTCTCTGCGAGTCCATTATACCTTGTAAAATGCAGACTAGATGCGATCAGTTTGAAATCATAGGAATTAGCAAATTTGTTGAATTCTTTAGAGTCAAATGCGTTACATTCTCCCTTCGAATGTTTTCGGAAATTCCATGTTATGCAAAAATATTTAAGGTTTTGATTGCAACATTAGTTGATTCCTTAACTTCTGCAACTTCTGGGTAATTCAAATTTGAATCATAAACAACTAACTAATATTTTCCATTGAAATAAAATAGATCAGTTCCAACACAATCTCATGATAAGTTATTTTCTCTTTGGTTTAAAGGTTCTTCTTGTTATCTGTATTGAAAGTTTTGAAGCGTCTCACATTTTTAAATTTTTCTTCCAATGTCCATATTCATGTTTAGATAAAATATAATTGTTCTGTCTCTCCTTTTCTCTTTCTTAATTCCCTGATGTCTTTCATAAATTTTTTCATTCTTATCTTCTTTCATCATTTTAGTAGAACAATCTTATTTCCTTTCACGATCAATAATAATTAAATCTTTTTATAGGTGAACGTCTTTTTTGATTAGATTTTAATTATAGGAAATACCATACATCTGCATATAAAATTGTATGATACTTTTGTGATTAATTTTAAACTTTCCTAGTTTCCTTTTAATGTGCAGCGCGATACCACAAATTTCATTTTAAACAAAAAATTAAAATGCAGCCAAATGGGCAATATTTCAGCCACTGTGGCGCCCACCCTCTTCTCTTTTAGCACTTGAAAGGGGGAAGGACAGCTGTTAACGCCCCTTTATGGTCGTGTGCCGGGGAAATACTTCGCGGGTGTTTAACGCTGATTCACAACATAACAAAAAATGTGGAATCAATGGAAAACTATGAATTACAAGAATGCGTACAAATCGTTTGAGATAGGATAACAAAAGGATTGGGTGCTATTGAGTTCAAAATGGGTGCTCTCTCTCCCTTCTTTCCGATTAGTTCTCAGTCCTCCATTTATACGGGACATTTTCAAATTACTGCTCAACCGAACGGGCAAGATTAAATTTTAGAAAAATCACTCCAAAAAATATTCATATGAACCTCCTATTTAACTTATTATCAAGGAGTCTATAACAGGTGCAAGTATTATATATATATATATATCCGACATTTTCTTAAATTTCTCACGGTATACTCAGAGGATTATTTTGTAATTTTAGAGATCCGTATGATTTTTGCAGAGGTTTGAGGGACCGACGATAAATTACGAAGGAAAGCGAGTATTTTTCAACAGCCTATTCCAGGAAATTAAGCTTGTAAATTGTATCTTGTAAGCTAATTTCTTAAACCTAAACATGATTATTTCATGCGATTTCTCCTACATATCAATTAAGTGTAAGGCTTTTAGAGGGACCGGCAATAAATTATGAACAAGAAAAGAAATTTTTTGAACAACCTACGCTAAAGAACATGATGATAAGCTTATATGGCTGATGTCGATAACGTTGGTTATTATATGCAATAACTGTACAAAAATTCGTAAGCCAAGTTTAAATATTCATGAAGGTATGGATGCTGTTATATAAAAAAAATTAAAAAAACTAACAACGAGATGTGATAGTAATAAAAAATTAAAAAAACTTATTTTATTAGGGTTTGATTCGATATAATATCGATGTTATTTTTAATAAATCTTGCTTAACAGTATAAAATTAAATTTGTGGAAAACCCCTCACCATTTAAAACTTTCTTTCCAAATTAATAAAAACTATTTTTTAGCATTTCAAAATATTCAAATCGAGCTTTTTTTTTTGTTGAAGAATATTAGCTGAGAACAATATTAAAAATAGCTCTTACTAAAAACATCACGTTGAATGCTGTCCTTAAAAAAATAAATAAATAAATAAAATAAAAATAAAAGCATATATATATATATTTCGCACTTTCTCTGAATAAACATACCCGTTTTTTCGACGAATTAAGATTTTTGACCCCCAAAATAAAGGAGGTAGTAGCAATCTGGAAAATATGGTCCCAATTGTTTGGGCAGGGGAGAGTTCCAAAGTGTGGACCTCTTAACGTTGATTTTGCTTTTTACGTATTTCATTATATCTCGAGAACTTTTTAATCGAATTGAAATTTTTTGCACACAATCATAAAATGCATTTATTCAAAGATAATTCCATGCAAAAAATGACTTTTAGGGAAGATCTATTATTTTTTATTATTTTATTAAGTAATAGTCGAAGAAAATTTGAATTATTAGGTATATAAAAAAAAATTTTGCATCATTTCAAAGAGCATAATTTTACATGACGAAGTACAAAATTTGAGGATAATCAGTTGAATAGTTCATGTAAAATTGAATTTTAAATATCTAACTTATTTCACTCCCATGAGCCATTAAGATTGACTCGTAGAACGGGAAGATCTGATCATTAAATCAAAGGTTATTCAGGATGGTCCGTTTTTGTTTCTTATTTTGCCCATTGTATATCATTGCTTTTAAGCTATTTCAATTAAATTGTTTATCACAATTTAATCGATTTTCATATATTTGTTATTTCAGACAAAAAAAGCAGAAATGAAGAGTCTGATATCGACACTAGGTATACATTACTATCATCCACAAGTTCCAACACTAAACCTTCGAATTCGAATCATCAAAAAAGTCCTCCTCATCACGGAGTGGGCAAAGCAAAAAGAATTCGAACTATTTTTACTCCAGATCAACTTGAAAGGCTCGAATGTGAATTTGAAAGGCAGCAATACATGGTAAGAAAGTTTTATTTTCTTTCGTTTGCTTTAAGTTAATTTTCTCGTGATTAAGAAATTTTGCCAAAACTTTGAATAATGTATTAAACTTTAAGATGGGAGTTGGTGATAAAAGTTTTAGTGCAATTTAGAATCAAGATAAGAAATGAACTTATTATTTTCCATCGATAATTTATGATATATCTCGATAGTTTATCTTGACTTAATTTGATTTATTCTCGATAACCACCCCTTGATCGCTCTGCTCTCCGATACCTCTGTAATTGATTATCAATTATATATACAGGGGTTGATTGATTATCAACCCCTGTAATTGATTATCATTCAGAATTGTTTACTTCTTCTAAAATGTCAATATTTTCTACGAAAAACAGAACATTTTGGTTTCAAAATATTCAATTATTATTATAAGAACATTTTGTTGATGTGTTTTTAACGAAATGGACGAGGAATACAGATATGAAAATACAGACAAGGAATACACATCATGAGATTCAATACGAAGAATAAGAGAGGAGTAATTTTACTCCTTGAAGAGAGTAATAAAAATTCAAATAGGGAACGGTTTTCATCGTTATTCATTAATTCTTTTTTTTTTCCTCAAAAATTCTCTATGGATGTTAAGATTTATATCTGGATAAAATGGACTTCAACTCTGCAATTGCATTTCAGCAAACAGTAAACCGAGAATTTTTTTTAATGCAAGTTAAAGAGTTAATAATTTTAGAACTAAGAAATGAATCGTAATTGTTTTTATTTCATCTAACTCTTTGTTTATTTTTCTACACACCCTCATAATTTAGAGTTTCCAAGTCGTATAGATTTTGAGCATCAAAGTAAAATATACTACAAAGCAATAAAAAAAAGCGAGCAGAAAAATCCTTGTTTAAAATTGCAATAACTTTTGAAAAAGTCAAAATTTCGAGGAAAAAATGTCTGTGTTAAGTTTATAAGCAAATACAAACAAAGCAGGCCAAATTTCAATTTAGTCTCATTCCTGAAATTTTAGCCATGAAATCCATGAAATTTTAACCTCATAGTTAATAATTTTATTTATTTTAATTTCAGAAACAGTAAAAAGCTTAAATTATATCTTAAATCGGATTATTCAAGTTCTGACTAAGTGCAAATTGACAAAATAAATTTCATTTTCTTTCTTCAATGAGTCTAAAACTTCGTGAATGGATTAGTAATTTAGAATTTTGCTAAAACATTTGACAAAATAAAATTTCCAGAACATTTTCTATATCCCGAAAATTAGGTTGTGGGGTTGAAAGGTCCATTTCTGTAGTATAGTGGACATTTAATCAGTCTATTGGTGATGATTATTTTGTGCTTCGATGCGTTCCTGCTTTTAAATGTTTCGCATCATAATTCTGACCACTTTCAGGTTAGCTAGAGCACTCAAATATCTACCGGAGTTCCGTGTCTGATTGAACAGCGAATTTCTATCGTTTTTAGACAATTACAAGCAGAATTCACGGATAATTTATTGCCAAATGTATATATATATATATATATATATATATATATNTAGTTGAAAACACTTGAAAAGAGAGCTATGAGATATATATATATATATATATATATATATACGCCAAACAACAAAATTTGTCGCTAACAGTGGAATACTATGTACCAAATACCTGGTTACTCTTTTAAGTTAATAAAACAGTCTTTATTTATTTATTATTATCTTTTTAAATATAATGAATGTTAACTACTTTTATACTTTGTTATTTTTGCAAAAAAAAAAAAAAAAAAAAAAAACCTTTCCAACTTTTTTTTTAATGGAATACCTGCAAGTGACGTAGAGTGGGTATATCTATCCTGATTGGTTGTTGTAACGTGGCATTTGTTTACGTCAGCAACTGTTCTTTCCATTATTTCGAATAAGCAAAGCCCATCAAGTAGCAATTCTCTTAAATGGCACGTTCTATATTCTTTCACAATGATACTTTCACAAATATTGCAATTCTTATTTCCCATATATTTCTTACTTAACATAAAGACATGCATGAAGCCACGTAGAACATAAAATAAATAATCAGGTGCATACACATAATCACAATCTAATTGTCATGTGCACAAAACAAATCACGATTACAATAAAATATGTAAGCAAATAATAAATCTAAGTTAAGTAAAAGATGTAGATGAGAAAGAATTATATTTCATCAAATTCGATGTGCCATATGGAGCTGTATTTAATTTACATTCTAACTTATATGGAGAAACATAGCTCAACTTCAACACGCCATTTGATCAGCTGGCTCTGACGTCATAAGGCACATGTATGAATATACTTGATCTTCTTCTTCTTGAAGTGCAAGTACCCAATTCTGAGTTCTAAAATAATATTTCAACATTTTTTAAATTTAACTTTTTGTTTCAATTCGTATTAAACATTCACTGGTTACAATATGAAATGATTCAGTATCAACTTAGTGGAATTGGCGCCAACTTTCCTAGTCGATCGGATTTTACACCAGTATCCGTAATTCTTAAAATTTTTATTTTCCTTTGTTCTTTTTTATTAACACTGTTTTTATTAACTATGTCGGCAAGGAAAATAAAACGCCATAGTTTAAATACCTTACACTTAAAGCAATACGATGATTTTAAACTATATAGATAAAATCTTGCCACGAAGAATTATCTGGGCTTCAGAACAGACAAATAACTTAAATATTTTAAAAGTTATTAAACATTTTTAAAAATTGCCAAATTGGTGACATTTTTCCACCTAGATGAAAATTATCAAAACCAGTGCCTTATTTTCAGTTTTTTCAAATTTTTATGATCCCAGGCAATGCAGCATTGGAGTAAGCTTTTAAATATTAAAAAATTTTATCACAAACGCATTTTATTTTCACAAAACTGTGGCTTTTCTTCATATTGACGTTTTGTGCCATTTTCAAAATAAGCATTGACTTTACATAAGCTAAACTTGACATAACAATCATGAGTAACAGTTGCAAACTCACATATTATTCGTAAAAATAGCATATTATTCATTTAATATTACAATTGAGCCTTTTAAGAGTTTCCGTTGTATCAGTTAATATGTCAAAAAAATCCTTTTATTCCATTTTTAGGTGGGACCAGAGAGGATGTACCTAGCTTCAGCCCTCAACCTCTCAGAGAGCCAGGTTAAAATATGGTTTCAAAACAGACGAATAAAATGGAGGAAACAACACCTCGAAATGCAACAAGCGAGATTGGCGCAACTGAGAGAGGCGGAAACGGTAGAGAATAATGAAAGTGATTCGGACCAAACGGCGAAAGAACAGTCGCCAAATCATTGGGAGATCATGACAGAAGACAGAAACTGAGATTTCTCTATAATCATTTCTACGTTCATCAGATTGAGACTTCGTTATCGACAGTTTTGAAAATAAAATCAAACGCCATCTTACAAGACACATGACTTTAGTTACATAAAGCTAAGAAGTTGATATTTAAAAACATTCTGTAAATGTTTCGAGCTTTTTTCCCCCTACCCTAAATGACTAGGAATTGTGTTTGCGGCTTTAATGAGAGTTTGGATGCTCAAACACTCAAATAATAATTCCATTTTGGTACGCTTATGAAGAGGTTGTTTAACCAAAAACGTTTTTACAAAAATACCCTTAAGAAATACAAAAGAAAAAAAATCTAAGAAAACATCACAAATATCCTTAAAAGCTTTCGAAAACATCTATGTGCATGAGCTTTTCTTTAAATTATGAATCGTAACTTGTATTCATAAATTAAATAAGGAAAAAGAAATAATTAAAATAAATATGCAATTTATGATTTAAATCAAACTTAAATAAACACCTCGTAAAGATAAATAAGAAGTAATTAATTTGTTGTTACAATTGTGAGAATATTACTATTCAAAAACATCAGAATTGCATTCGATTATTAAATGTTCTTTGATATCCTCAAAGTTGAAAAATTAGCTTTTGCCCACAGTTTTGTACCTTGAGAAACTATGTTCAAAACTGTACAAATATAACTAATTATGGAATTAAATAAATAAAAGAAAGAAAAAAACAGTATTCAGTGTAAAATGTAAACTAATTTATAAAAGAAAAATTAATTCGCAAAAAACCTTCTTTTAAAAAAAAATATGATTCAAAATTTATATAAAAAGTCATTACAAAAGAAAAAGTCTGAAAAATGAGAAAAAAAATGATTAAAAAAACTGAAAGTAATGTCCTAAAAAGAAAAAAAACGTCAATCAAAAGTTTAGAAAAACACAAAAACAATAATAAATATAGTAAATTTATCATCGACATTCTACCCTTTTTAAATTTAATAAATAAAAATAAATAGATAAATAAATAAAGTAAAATTGCGCATGCAAAAATTCATATAATTCTTTGCCTATAATCGCTAATTTAAAAACTCTTATAATTTAAACAAATGTACAATTCAGAGAAAAGTTTTTTTGTGTATACGTTATTAATAACACCGCATACAAACACAAACTATTGTTGTTTGTTTGAACTAATCTCTAAACCAGGCAGAAAAATATGTTACTTATCGGTGATTTGTTCATTTATTATGTTTGTGAGTGTGAATTTATACATTAATTTAAATTATAGGTTTGCACAATTTTTAGAAAAACCCAACTATTTTTGTTAATTAAATTTAAAAAAAATAAATTAAGTAACTTAAAAACATATTCACCATTTTTACGAGTTTTATGACTTTAATTTCTTTGTTGACTGAAATTATTTGGACGATTAATAAACAAGGCTAAAACAAACGATATGCACAATGAAATGTGAATTTCTAGAAATGATTATAGTTACATAAGGTTCTATCTTTTCTAGAAAAATAATAACATCTAGTCATTTTTGTAAAATACTGTATCATATTGTAAAATATTTCCATCATTTCTCAAATGACTTTCGTGACTGTGTATCATTCAATGAATAAATTCATTTTGTGCAATGGAATGACTTATTTTAAACTTTAAAATATGAAACTTTGATGTGCATTGAATCAGTCTGAAAAGGTAAAAGCATATACTATTCATCCGATTCTTAGAATTATTTTATAGCCGTCATTGAACAGCCGACCCAATTTTTTGGGTATACGACTACTAATATTCAACTCCGTAGCCTTACTATTTGGAACCAATCCAGAAGACAAGGAAACTCCTATGTCAGTACCTCCAGAGGTATGATTTGTTATGGAACATGGAGGACTTTGTGACTAGACAAATTTAAAGTGCATCCGTCACCATTTACTACACGGGGAGTCCCCCTCCTGCGGGGATAGAACCCGCAACCTCTTGAACATGGGCCCAGTGCCCTACCAACCAGGCTATCCCGGTCCGATACTTAGAATTAGAAAAAAATAGTTTTTTAAGGAAATTTTTGTTCACTATTTTATGTAAATTTGTATTGTCTACTCCGAGCTACAAATATTACTAAAAGCCAATTTCGTACATTCAGGCAACTAGCAAAGATAACGGAACATGGAAAAAAAATGTTATAATAATTACAACAGTATCTTGATTATTGCATATAAATTTTAACAGGACGATTATTTGATACTTATCTTAATTCTCAGTGCTGGACAAATTTACTCCGAAAAAACTTTCAGAAAAAATAATCTATTATCCGCTGCAAGTTAAGAAAAGACCATTGCGGTATAGGATTTAAGAAATCATTCGCTACATCATATAGTTTCGTTTTATTTTGTTATCAAATTATACAAATATGCTTTCAAAACAATTGAAAAGCTTCAAAAAGTTAAAAGCGTCTGTCAGAAATTAAATTCGTGCTATCTTTTACGATACATATCATACAATTATTAAAAAATGGTTATAGTTTCGAAGTTTTACTGAAATCCTAGACTTAGCGTCGTAATTCGATAAATAAAAGAAACAGCTTTATTTATCGGATAATAAAAGAAACAGCTTTATGACGTTGCAAGAGCATTGGATTCGATTGGACCACTAAAAATGGCGCGTCTTATGCTGATATGCCCTTAAAAAATCAAATGCGTTTTCGAGGAATTTTTACTTTTGTTTCAATAGAGAAGAAAATCATATGCAAGAAAATCGTATGCAAGAAACAATCTATATTATATAAAACGCTAATACGTACGTATGTATGTATGTATGTATCAATAAAACCGATGATATTTCTTTTCTCGCGCTGGCAACAGTTTTCATTTTTAATTGATTGGATTCGGCGCGCAAGAGCACGTAGTGAGCAACCAGATAACAATAACCAGAGTGAGCATTATCAGGTTGTTCAATTCAGATTCATGCACTAAAAACATGGCAATATTTAATTTAAACTCAATTAGGAATTAATTAATTAATTGAAGTGAGAATGCTTTAAAAGGCCGCTGTTGAATTGATATTTTTCTACTGGGAGCTACCTAAACGTCTAAAAAACGTTTAAGTGTTTGTATTGAATGCATTGAATTTTTTTTATATTTCGCGTTTATTTATGCATTGAATTTTCACGCTTTAAAATGCAGAATATTAGTGAAGCAATATTTGATAATTTATTTTGCTAATATGTTTCTTATTTAGCTAATGTTTTGATTTTTTCACCATGTACAATCTAAATAGCTAATATAGTTTTTTAAAAGCCAATAAGAACATTGGTAGAATTCTTCTACATAAGTACAATACTGTGTCTTTGATGATAAAATACTATGTCTTTGATGATAATATATTATGTCTTTGTGCTAGAACATTGTGTTCATTGGCGAGCGAGCGCAGCGAGCCATGGTTCACGGCGTGAACCACATAGGATTGCGTAGCAATTCTCGGGGGTTGGCGAGCGGTAGCGAGCAGGGGGCGGAGCCTCCTAGTATTTATTATTCTTTCATCGGTTTCTTTAAATGCAAACAGAATGACGTATACAATATTACAATATTTAGACATCATTTTTTATTAATTTTTATAACTTGTTAATTGAATAATAGTTTTTTCTTAACTTGCAACAGAGTATAGAGTTTTGCAATATGCCTAACTGAACAATTCCTAAGATTTTATTGTTGAAAAAAGGAGGGGGGGGGGGAAAGACAATATATCCAATGTCCAACCAGTAGTAAGGATTATTACCGCAATGGGCGCTGTACGCATTTGATTGAAAAGAGTTGCTATTTTGCAATGATTTGAAGAAAAAATGTCCCCCCCCTCTCTCTCTCTTCTCCTCCTTTTCTGCTTCCTTTCTTTCTTTCTTTCTTTTTTTTTTTTTTTTTAATGTCTTACATTAGAGTAGAAACTCTCTGTACACTTCTCCGTTATAAATTTATAATCGATGGATTTAGTCCAACTCGGTTCAATATTTATCTACAAATCTAGAAATTCTCTTTCTTTATACTTTACGTACAACGAGCAAAGATTCTCAAAATGAACTCCATTGGGGAAAATGTTCGTGTTCGGAGTTCGTAAATTTTTTTTATTCCTTTTTGTTTGTTTGAGTAGTACTGGGCAGTTGTAAAAAGCATATCTATACTTGAAGCACAGACAACTATAAAGACTAAATTCAATTCATAGTCAAAATTCAAAAGTAAATTTATAGTTTTGCATTAGCATAATTAACATCACAGAAGTTTTCTATAAATACCTAAAAAAAATTTAGAACCAAAAGAACTAACTTTAGGCATTCATGAAGTTAAGCCAATGTTACACCATAAAGAAAACTATTTTTTTTTTGTAATAGCGTCTAGATGTTTACAAAAAAAAGTAACAGTATAAAGTTTAAGCAAGACAGTTACTATCCTTATAGTAAATGGCAGCAGTGGGCATTTTACAGAGAGAATTAAATTAAAGAAAAGCAATGATGTTTGTCCAAAAAAGAGTAACTGCGCTATTATTTTACAAAAAATGAAATAAAGTACCTATTTATTCTTCCTCAAAATATATTTTCAAATCTTGTAAAGCATTTTCTCGTAATTCTATAAAGCATTTTTGCAACAAAATACCACATTTTTCAAACAGCGTAACGATGATACATTGATTACGATTGTCTTATGTCCTAAAATTCAATGAAAAAAATATTGCATTGTTATATTTTTTTTAAGTAGAAAAGTGTTTTACAGAAGTAGTGAGTTGAACATTAGTATTAATAGAATTCAAAATGAACATGTGATCAATATTATTGTTCATAAGTACCCGGTTCGTATTGTCGTATCATAAGTATTGTTCATAAGTACCGATAAGTACATAAGTTCATAAGTACCCTAGTTTTCATAAGTACCCGGATGTGTATTGATCATTTTTTAAAAAAAATATATATATATGAATTAAATATGAATAAATTGTTATGGATATATATGAATTAAATTGTTGTACGATTTATTATAACATGAATTAAAATTTTGGTACAACCTTATTTTAAAAAAAAAAATTTAATAATAAGAAAATTAACTATAACAGTGTTATAGCATGTCATAAACTAAAACGATCCCGTTAAACCTTAAAAAAATTCTTTT